CAGGCTTCCTTAGCTAACTTTAGAATCTCGCGCCATCGATGTGTGCTGCGTCTCCGAAACGCGCATACAGGATCCGAGTAGCGTCATTCATTTGACCTCACCATGCCAAAATAAAGAACCGACTCGATTTACGCTTCGTGTATCTGGAAGCCCTGATTCTGCTTCCCGTGGCCTCGCCGGCGTAGGTATAGCATTGAGTCCTAGGGCAGAACTAGCTCTCTTAGAGTGGATCCCAGTAGACAGTCGTTTGTGCGCTGTCCGACTGAACGGAACAGTAAGAATCCGGAAAGATAGGGACACTCGTCGTTGCCTCTTCGTCGTCTCTGCCTATTCTCCCACTGACTGCAGCTCAGATGATGTAAAAGATGAGTTTTACAGAAAGCTTTCGACCTTCTCCGAAAAGCTAGGCGCTCGGATGTAGTAATAGTGGCCGGTGACTTTAATGCTCAAGTAGGTAAACTAAGCGATAGGGAAAGACACCTAGGTGGATCTTATGGGTCGTGGCTCAAAGAACAGATAATGGCGACCGTCTGTTGCAGCTATGCTCAGATAACCGCCTGTTCCTTGCAAATACTAACTTTAAGCATAAGGAAAAACATCTTTTAACATGGCGACCCCCTAATTCGTCCCAACGTTGGACCCAAATAGATCACATCGCTATCAGCCACCGATGGAGGGGCTCGATAGAAGACTGTCGCTCATTCTGGAGCACATGCCTAGATTCAGATCATGCTCTAGTGCGAGCGCGTATTTGCTTGCGTCTTACTGGACGTAGGAAAGACGCTGCAAGGAAACCTCTTAGGGCCTACTTAATGATAGTCAAGCTAAGAGTATATTTCAGGAACAACTAGGAAAACAGTTAGGCAGCCATGTATGTGATGCCCACCCCGATGCAGCATGGAATGATATCCGAAAAGCTGTGGAAACAGCAGTGATATCTGCTAGTAAGGTAAACCGAAGGTTAGGGAGCAACACTGGATCTCAGCAGCATCTATCTCACTGATAGATGCTCGGAAACTCATTCCACCTGGCTCTGAACATAATGAAGAGCGGAGTCAGCTTAAGCGCAAGCTGACAAGAAGTCTACGCAATGATCGCGAACAGTGGTGGGTAGCGAAAGCAAGAGAGATGGAAAAGGCAGCGGCAATAGGTAATAGCAGACAATTGTTCAGACTCGTTAAGGAAACCGACTGTTAGCGAAACAATCTCAGAGAAAGATGGACATATTATACATTCTCAATCCAGGAGATTGGATCGATGGGCAGAACACTTTAGGGATCAGTTCAACTGGCCTTCAGCCACACTTCGGTTTCCCACGATCTCTAGTCAACCTGAATGGCAAGTTAATGTAGGTCCTCCGTCTTTACGAAGTTGAAAAAGCCATAGGAAATCTGAAACGAGGGAGAGCAGCAGGCCCTGACAGGTTTACTCCTGAGATTTTTAAGGATGGTGGTCCAGTATTAGCAATGAGATTAACTGAGGTCTTAGGTAGAATTTGGGAACTGGACGTAATCCCATCTGACTGGTCTCAATCACTGATTGTGCCAGTCTATAAGAAAGGACAAAAGTCCTCTTGTGACAATCACAGAGGAATCAGTTTGACTAATATAGTGTCTAAAATATTAGCTTCAATAATACTTCGACGCCTAACAAAGCTCGTGAAGAGCAGACTAGAGAAAACCAGGCTGGTTTTCGACCTGGACGTGGTTGTATAGATCAGATATTCACACTACGTCAGGTTCTAGAACACAGACACACATTCAGACGCCCCACAATGGTAGTATTTCTCGACCTTAAGGCGGCATTCGACTCTGTTGATCGTGAGGTTCTATGGCAGTGTTTGTCACTGAAAGGAGTACCAAAGAAGTACATTAACCTTATAAAGGCTCTCTACTCGAACACAACTGGTAGAGTGAGAGCTTATGGCGAACTGTCATCAGAATTGATTACCTCAAGTGGTGTTCGTCAGGGCTGTCCACTCTCCCCATTCTTGTTCAACTTTGTCGTCGACGTACTTTTAGAGATAACACTCTCCTCATCTAAATTTCCAGGGGTTGAACTTCTACCGGGAGGTTCACTTGTTGACTTAGAATATGCTGATGACATAGTTTTATTTGGTGAAGACGCTGACAAAATGCAGAGTCTTCTGACCACTCTAAGCAACAATGCAAGCATGTTCGGGATGCGATTCTCCCCCTCGAAATGCAAAATGTTGCTTCAGGATTGGGTTACATCGACACCCGAACTAGTGATAGGGAGTGAAGTAGTTGAGTGTGTCGGTCGCTTCACTTATCTTGGAAGTCTCATCAGCCCTTGTGGTTGGTGTGTGACGAAATCTCAGCACGGATACAGAAGGCTCGACTAGCTTTTGCCAACTTGCGTCATTTATGGCGTAGGCGAGATATCCGTCTATCAACCAAAGGACGTGTTTACTGCGCAGCAGTTCGTTCCGTCCTACTTTATGGCAGTGAAACATGGCCGGTAAGAGTAGAGGATATTCGTAGGTTACTAGTATTTGATCATAGGTGTCTTCGAAACATTGCTCGTATATCCTGGGACCATCGAGTAAGTAACGCAGTTGTTAGGAAACGGGTACTAGGTAAGGATGACGTAGTGAAACTTCATCAGTTGAGATGGCTGGGACACGTGTTACGTATGCCCAACGACCGACTGCCTCGACGTGCTATGTTCAGTGGTATAGGAGTAGGTTGGAAGAAAGCTAGGGGCGGCCAAACCAAAACATGGCACAAGTCCATGAAGTCACTGACAAGTGACTGAGTCATGTTGGTAGGTGTAGACTACCTGGTTGGGGACCGCGAGATGATAGCAACCGATGGTTAGAGACCCTGAATGACATGGCTCAAAATCGTTTGCAATGGCGCAGGTGCATCCACTCTCTGTGTTCTCCCAAATTCTAATCTTCTGAATTCTTCATGTCCCTTTCTTTATTCTATTTCCAAATGTATTTCACTGTATTATATTCCTTGAATGACATCTTCAAACCCTAATTTTCCTGATTACAGCTTATAATTTTACTACATCTAGCACTACGGGATTTGAATCGACCAATGCATCACTGTGCTAATGTGGTGTGGCAACTCGAACTGATGTACGTACATACGAAGTTCTACGTTGTTACTGACTGACTGAGCTTAAACCCGTAGGGTTAGCGAGGAAAACTAATAGGGACTCAAAGTTGACTCTAGGCTACTCGTACTGGTTTATGTGTCATTGATTTGGCATCGTGCCAAGTCGTGGCATTTGACAGGGCGCAGTACATAACATGAACAACTTAAAAGGTAACACCAGATATTTAGAAGCGATCTGAAGAGAAAAAACAAACAACTGTAATTTTCGTATGATTCAAATCCTCTTGTGATTTTATCATTTCTTGTGAAGCTGAATAATAGTTTTAATAGTCTATGAAAGTCTTTCAAGAATACCAAGAATCCATTTCATCAGGACCTTATACCCAGAGCACTGGATAAACATTTTTGGCTAGTTGGGCAGTGAAAGGTTACATCACTGTGACATATGTGCATGATTACGGTATCGCCACGTCTCTCTATAAAAAATGAGCCTTAAATTGATGCTCCGAAGTGAAAAAAAAGTGTAAAACATTTAACAATCCATAGCATTTCCGCCAAATACCAATAATAACATTTTTCAAAAAAAAATGATTCACAATACAACTGTAGAGAACACGGATTGAGACAACAAAGAAGGGTAAAATGCATTTGTATTCACTGTCATCAATCGTTGGGATTATTTGCCACTGGAGATGATAAGTATTCATGCAAAGACGTGAAAGTTTCTTGGATGGAGTCAAAGAAGTGTTAATGAATTAATGGTAGGATGATTCAATACTCATTATAGTGATAGAATTAATTTTCATTTCAGCACAAAATACACTACTGATCGTTTGCATACCCTTCTTTTACTTGGCTGTAATACGTCTCTCTACTTTAATTCCCTTTTCGTGAGGTAGTAAGACACAGGAGATATGAGCTGAAGCATGTTTGTATAAGATAGAAAATTGTATACTGCTTGTTTAAATAACAAAAATCTAAGACTGCCCCCCTGGTAAGGCCGAGGGTGGAAAGAGTTAGCTCTCTCTCTCTCTCTCTCGAAATGCCCTAACATGGTCACGCGTATAAAGCCACTGACAGAGAAGTCCTACTTACTACCTTCTCGTGGCGAGGGCGTTATTTACGAAATTGAGAGAACGAAAAGCGAATGTCCGGCGCTTTAGCCGGGTCAGTAGGTAGAGAGGACCTCCCTATGGGAATTGGAAAACCCTGATTCCAAACCAATGGTGCACATGGGCTGTGAGAGAACAAATGGCGTATGAACCAATTATAAATAAAAATAATATATTTGTAATATCCCAATGAGTAGAAAATTGGATTTTCTGACGTTTCGTGACTTAGTGTAAGTCACTTCTTCAGAGAATAAATAACCAAATTAAAATTAATCCAGGTTTTAAACCTGGATTAAGTCACGAAACATCAGAAAATCCAATTTTCTACTCATAGGGATATTACAAATATATTATTTTTATTTATAACAATCAACCCAATGCTCAATTTATTCGAAAGTATGAACCAATTGTTGGTCACTGGCTACTATGGGACTGCATCTCCTGATGTTGCTCCACCGCCTTGTGGATCAGACCGTTAGGTCGAAGGCTCCGGACGTGGCCCCCTAAGAAGACCACCTGCTTCAGTTTGGGCACCCGGGTAGTATCACAATCCACACACAAATCAAGTTACTTGTGTGGCGCATATGTATTCGGTGCCTTTTTGTACTAATATTTATGTGTTCAAATAAATAATAATAAGCAACTGGAGGACAGCCTAACATAGAACTAACAAAATTCGGATGTTAATAAACTTTGCCAAAATGACATTCATAACCCTTAACGCCTCCACATTACAAGGGACGAATTATAAACGTTTTCGCTTTGGGAAAAAGAATACATAAGACGGAAACAAATTTACCTTATGACTTGATGAGAATTTAGCAAATGTATGGATCACAGCATTCAAAAGCCAGTGTTCTAAGGTTTGTTGATGAGTATGTAGTTGATCTTCTGTACTGGATACAAATGAGTTGCCACTTGTATTTAATCTTGAAATCGTTTTCAACTCTGGAGGTATGCTGGTTCGATGATTTCTAGAGCACATAATTTAGCGACATAAAATGTAAAAATCAGCATAAAGACTGACGTTCGCCCAAAGGTAGAAAATAGAATTAGATACTATGTTTAGACACATGCAGCAATAAATGTTCAGTAACCTGTTAATCGGATACTCTGAGGGTATCGTATTTGATATTCTCAGTCAGTCAGTCAGCTACAACGTAAGACCAGACACATATATGCATCGGTCCAAGTTGCCATACCGCATTAGCACAGTAAGATGAACACCGGATTCATAGGAGTGGTTGAGTCAATGGTGGTAATATATAAAAGAAAGATTGCATATAGGAACATAGTACAGGAAGAAAGAATTAGTTCGTAGAAAAAAAAATTATGAAGCGATTTTAATCTATTAGTTTAAGGGGAGATAGAGAGTGTATACACCGACGCCATTGTGGTCGATTCTGAGCCATGTCACCAAGAGTCTCCAACCATTGGTCAAGATGGTCACGTGGACACCAACCAAGTAGTCTACATCTCCCAACACGACTAAGACTAGACGTTAGTGATTTCAAGCACTGATGCCACGTTTTGGTTTGATCACCCTAACTTTCTCCCAACCATCTACAATACCAAACAGCATTGTACGCCGTGTTAATCGGTGTTCAGGCATACGTAACACGTGACCCACCCATCTCAGTCGATAAAGATTCACAACTTCACCAGCTGATTTACCATCATTCCCTAACACCCTGCGTCAAACCTCATTATTACTTACCCGGTGATCCCAACAAACGCCAGCAATATTTCTGAGGCATCTGTGGTCAAATACTAGTAGCTTACGAGTGTCTTCTACTCTTAATGGCCATGTTTCGCAGCCGTGAAGTAGAACAGAACGGACTGCCGCGCAGTATACTCGTCCTTTTGTTGATAGATGGATATCTCGCATTCGCCATAGGTGGCGTAAGTTGGCAAAACCCAGACGAGCTTTTCGAGTCCGTGCTGAGATTTCGTCAGACACTGACCCATTAGGGCTGGTCAGACTTTCAAGATAAGTGAAGTTGTCAACGCGTTCGACTACTTTACTCTCTATCTTTAGTTCAGGTGTTGACGCAGACCAGTCCTGAAGCAACAACTTGCATTTAGAGGGAGAGAAGCGCATTCCAAACATTCTGGCATTGTTGCTTAGTGCTACCAGAAGACTCTGCATTTTGTCAGCGTCTTCACCAAACAGGACTATGTCATACTCTAAGTCGATAAATGGACCTCTTGGAAGGAGATCAATACCTGAGAATTCAGTCGACAAGAATGTTATCTCCATCAGTAGGTCTATGATGAAAAACAAAAATGGAGAAAGTGGACAGCCTTGACGGACACCACTTGAGGTTGCAAAAGCAGATGACAGTTCGCCATAAGCTCTGACTCGACTGGTAGTGTTCGAGTAAAGAGCCTTCACAAGGTTTATGTACTTCTGACGTACGCCTTCAATGACAGACACTGACACTGCCACAGAATCATTTGATATTCTATTTCAGTGTATATCCAGAAACGTATTTTGACACACCTAAGAATTAACTGTATATGTGTTATTAGCTAACAATCTGTTTTCATCAAGCAGTTAAGTTTCAAAGAAGATAATGTACAATCTAAACCATGGAGTAAACACGTTCATATGTGTACTCATCTATATATCTTTAGTACCTATCTTGCCCTGTTAATGGTCCACATTAACCAGCGAGTTGACCTTTTTTTCTACTTAAGGAGTCGAGTCGCCGTTCACGGATTGTTGACGAATCTTCACATGAATATAAAAGGGTTGCTTCAAAACTACCCACCTATATCATTTAGGAAGCTCCTTATGGAAAACGGAAGTCGAAGAAAAGGATAAACGGTGACTGAGAGCACTATATCACAGTTATCGTCAAAAGATTATTGATGTGTGCCTGAATAACTAATTTAGGCGAAGAATTCTATACAACAAGAAATAGTCGATGAGGCTACGAAACTACATCCACTAAGGGTTATTCTGAGTAGCATAATAAGAGGTTATCAAATATTAAGGGTTTCTAAACCAAAAATGGAGAAGAAATTCTAAAATGATATGGTTTTGCATTAGATTATGTTGCCTTCCCTATCATTGTTAACTTTAGATTCGGATCAACAGAATTTACAAATGAATGACCAGTTTTCGATTTCAATCACTACACTGAACAAATTAGAATAAACAATAAAGTGATGTTTATAAATGTGAGTCAACGCTTTTGAGTAATATGAAAAATTTATGGTTAGTTGACTCAAGTTAGTGGCTTTTATTGACTGGGATAAGAGTTTAAACCACAATTATTTTACGAAGACCATGAACCTCTAAAACACGAGTGGCCCAAACTTAGTTCATGAGCTGAAAATTAGCTACTGAGTTCCACTAGATGTCAGAAGAATGAATGCAGTACTTTTGTTTAGTTCACTGGGTAGCATAACTAGTGTTTTTATCATTCAGAACTGTGACAAAGTGAGTCGAAAACTGAGGAGATAGTAAGAGAATATTATATTACAATAGAAGGTTAGCTGTTTATGGACCAAAAAGACCGCGTGACAAAGTAATCGCAGTTATATTTGTAGTGTTGGAATTTTCTCACTAACCTCTTCAGAGGTCAATCTGCAACAATACAAACAGAAAATTGGTGAAACTTATAAGATAACACATCAACAATAAGAACGTGCAAGGATGTTAATTATGAAACTATTGATTCTCTTTGAAAACGACTGCTGATGAACTGAATCCAGGAAAGCCATCTGAACACACAATCCCAGTTTGGAAACGACGGAGCGATTGAAGAAAATGACTTTTAATGACATTCACACATGTTTAGGACAATGGAAGCAGATGGGATAAATCTCATGTCAAATATAAGGAGTATTTTGAAGTGGATAAGATAGATGTGCCGTAAACATTTTAACATAAAAATATTATGATCTAAACTCGCACATTCATTGGACTGTATAGTGAACAGAACGATTTCTTTACAATACTTTGACAATCAAATAATATCTAGTACTTGGTTCAGTTAGTCAGGTAATTAATTAGTGAGTCATTCCAGAGCATTATTGTATGTTTAAATGAACTAGGCGCTTGACGATTTTGTGGTTTTTACTGAAGTCGTCAACATCCTTGTGACAAAAATATATGGTTTGCTTTTGGTTTAAAATGCTTATAGTATTAAACTTGATTGATCGATGATATTAAGGTAGAAATATTTCATAAAAGTTGAGTTGAAAGTTTTTGAAAGCTGTGAACTCATAGTTTATTGACGGGGCATAGAAGCTAGTCAGAAATGAAAATTGGAGTATGAAAGGACTCACGCAATGGGGTTCTGTGTGTTGTTTGAGCAAGAGAAATTTCGTATATCAGAAGTCATTTAAATCCCATCTGAAATGTAAAGAACATATAAATAATTGAAATATCCGAAATAATTTTGGCACCACTTTAAGATGAGATAAGCTAGAAACAATTTATTTCCAACATTTATTTGGAATAGTTAACAAACTAGAAAACTGAACAAACGTTTGTAATTGTTATTTTTCTTGAAAAGATGAACCATAAGGCCGTTTCATAATGTTTACGGCCTGAAAACCAACTATTTACACCATAAACTACATACAATTGATAGAAGAACAGTACTAGAAACGGCATCACATAACTTGATGTTAAAGTAAATGACCAAAATCTACAGATACTGCTGGCTTTTGTCAACTTGAGTCACTTGTGGGTTAAGTGAGCAAGTGTGTTGTATGAAAATACAAGATATAAGTGGGGAGCACGTTTCTGATTACGGATCCCTTCAAAATATTGTTCACACATCGCCCAACGACCGAGTGACAATGAGGCGGCTACATATAGGGTACTATACAAACATGGAAAACTGACTGACAAGGTTGTGAATCACCATCGACCGAAGCAGTTGGAAAATACGCCAATTATGCTTAATCACTGTAAACCTCGACGCACACTTAAATGGTGTATAAGTAGATTGGAATAGTGTCAGGGATGGTCAAACCAAAAAGTGACATCCATTCATGGGATCATTGACGGTTGGTCTATGTTATGCTGGTAGATATAAACTACTTGGCTGGAGTCCACTCGATCATTACGATCACTACAAATATTCCCATTCGTTTGTTATACATCTCGTTATGATTATATGATATGGGAATTCAGGCTAACGAAGATTTGTGCCAGGACTTAAGTTGGTTATCACGAACATATGGTTTTAAAACTCTGCGTCTGAAAAGCTACTAGGCCCTTGCTAGCAACCTCTTGTTTACGTAGATTAGTTTCATCCTAGAAAATGGCTCGGTGAGACTATAATTTATGGACGATGTTATGGTCTCGCCGAAACAACTAATAAATTACCTAGTGATATGTTTTCCATGGTTACAGTGCTTGTAACATATTAACTACCGTCTGGCACAACTAAGTAATTAAAGCACAACTGAGTCTATTAGTAATTAGTTTTTGACAAATACATAGGCGATTTAAAGACAATAAGGTCGTGGTTGTCCTTATTATCACAATGATATATTTTCAGCCTACTGTACTTAATGACTGTGAAAACTCACATAAGCCGATTCGTGGAGTTATTTTTCTTAGATCTGGTGGAATTTTAAGTCTACGTCAGTCAGTATGTAGGGTTATTCTATCCCTCAATCATGACTATTGTAACTGGCAAGCCAACCACGATACTAAGTCAGAACTTATAGATCGGCCTACAAGAGTGTAAACTCACTTATCACATGTGGACTTATCTATGTTGCAGTCATAGACTATGTGAGGGATTGCATTATTGTTCAGTGTTTAAACCGTTAGTATATGTTGTGTGCTTTGGTTCTGTTACTCATTCATTGAACGCCTCACCACAGCTAAGTTAACCGTATAGAATAGGCTAATTAGGTTGCCTTACAAGAACACTATCCTGTTTCATTTAAATAACTTCCGTTAAAGAACAATGGCATTTGTGTCAAAAACCCCTTCAAACCATAGTTTGTACATCACTACTTTTATTATTGCTGATAGATCGACTTTGTGTTATAAGAAAACTATTTTTGTGTTTCTTTAAAACTATTTGCTTGACAAGTTTGACATACCCCACTTTACTTCTTAAATGCATACTGAGAAGACACTTATTGCTTGCGTAGCACTCGCATCATACTAGGCGCTCAGTGTAATTGTTTACACTTCTCTTGGCAATGGTTGCCAGATTTCTGATGATGAGCGTTCACAATTTATTGAGGGAGATGAAGTTACATTTCAAAAACCCTTTGGTTCATTATTTTTTCAACCGTGCCTGGACTGTTTTCTGTACTGTGGTGATATCTATGCAGGTCAGGTCTTGGACTGGATGTATTGTAGCATGTTTAGATCACCAGGGGTATAGGTGGTATGATATATCGTTAAAATGTTTTTATGTCTTTTCAATATCCTCTTCAGTATAGGTTTCGATTGTTCAATCTAGTGCAAATGTGGTTGTCTTGAATGAAGAGAAATAAATGACAGTGCGTAAATGAAGAGACAAAATAGAGACTGAAACAATGCCCGTTTTGATAAAAGGTTCTTGGTGGATACACAAACAGCGCCGAATTTCCCGAATTACGACTTCACCCTAGTCTGGCTGGAAAAAGCTTGATCTCATGGAATATTATTTTGAGCACTTCAATAGGATCAAACGACTTTCTTCAAAAATTAGACCAACGTATGATTTGGAAAAGGCCGGAGCATTCATTTGTGGCATCCTATCGAATAAGAGGACAGAAGGAAATGTTGGGCCAGGGTTATATAAAATCCTTAAATTGATCCTAGCAATGGAGGAAAATGATATAATTTGTCAGCTAGTGTTCTAATTCAAGATAAAGTTAACACTCTGTGGTGTTGGTATGAACTAATGCTTTTTTCGTACTTGACATATCCCTGGTTTCAAACTTCAAATACAATACGTTCTTTCGTGTTTGTCGAGTACCTTTTGGTGTAAATGGCATTATTTCTGGGACTCAAATACTTCACACACATTCTTTAGGGACCGTAAATCTCCACAAGATATAATAAAAATGAATGCGGTGCGAGCTGAGCTAGGATTCCGTGAAGAAAGCTTCCGCCTAGTGGGCTTTCACGTAGTCGAGTCTTGGAGGCATAGGCCGCAGAACACTACGCTTTGCCACTCCCAGATTAAAGACCGAGTCTCACGGATGGTCACACCTCTTTCGTGTCAGTGTTGGCATGATAGCGAACCTTTAAGGTCACATCCGTGATGTGTAAAGGAGGAACATATCAGCGCTCCGTGGTTCCCATCATTAGATACTTATGGTGGAGTCTTCTGGAATATTTTTTGTGGCAGTAGGTTTGGAGTTAACGAAACTTTATGTTATTCTGCGACTTACAGAACACATATCATACGCACGGTCGTATCGGACACCAAGTATGATTATTTGTCACAACCTAGAAACATATTTGAGCGACGAGCTTCTTTGTGTAGTACTAGATTGCCTGCAGTTACTTCGAATGTCGAGGAAACGGGTTAATGTATCACAGAATTCTGTATTTACGTCTAAGGCCGACCGAAGCTTTGCTTTGACGTAACAAACCTCGATTCAGGGCTTCTTATGATTCCTAGAATGAGATTGGAGGATGAACTTGTATGTCACTAGCCTTGATTTGAAAGGAAACGAGAACCGATTTAGTTTGTGGAGGAAACCTCGATAAAAAGTTTCTTATTGAGGCCTTAGTCTCCTGTTTTCTGCCCGATGACATCTCCCGCTTGTTCTACTACTTGCCACTGAGACGCTTCCCAGTTCAATGTCCAGGAAGACCCTCTTTTGACCGGTTGGGTTTCCATGTTTAATGATGGCTTTTTTGTTTCGTAAGGTTCTTAAACATTGTTCATAAACATACTACGTATACCGCGTGAAAAAATTCAAACTTGGTTAGTTTTTCGTGCCTATGGAAGCTTGCATGTCGCAGAATCAGCCTTTAATGCTATTATTTCAGGATGATATGAGTGGTAAGGTGGGGCAGTCCTAGTACTTAAGATCTTCAGACATAGTAAGGGCAAAATATGTGCAGGTAAGAATAATCTGGGAACACAAAATAATTTCACGACATTTTATTGTTCACATTGAATGGATTGAATATTGTTGGTGTATCATATCATATTTAAGCTCACTAATAGGAATATAACGGATACACAGCGTTTATCCGAAATCTGTTCTTCTATGAATACACAAAACCCGATAAAACCAGAAGTGAAGAAGGAAAACATATGATAAAATATTTGAATAATGGTCTGACAGACTGTTGTAAGAGAAGCTATGCTAAGCGTACCCAAAATCTGATCCGTTCTGATGTTTGGTCAAGCACTTTCAGTTATAGACCTGGACAGAAAAATCAAACTAGAAAGGTATTCGTTTTTCCATTTGTTTATCGCTATAAACTTGACATTGAGTATGAATTCTAGGAGCATAGTAACGACTATACAACTTAATGGGCTTAAAATCACAAGTTCAGTCAGAACTAAAAGCGAATGGTGCTTTGAATCCAAGTAGAGGCGAAATATTTGGAGAATATGCAGAATTGTGTTCAAGTGAAGGTAAAAAAATGATATCAGGAGTTCAAAGTGAGAGGGTTGACCAGTCAGGAATAAAGGTTTATTGAGGCTTCCAGTGACTGGTTCCAAACAATAGAATATGTGATCTCTTTAGCCATGAGTACTTTATAGTCCTGCTAACAATATATTGCCAGCATGTGAGGTTGTGACTAAAAGAGTATAGTGACCTACTTTTGAACGGTTTCATCGCCAACTTAAAAGTACTCTTCGAGCACACGAAAACAACAATTGGTACGAAACATTACCGCTCGTTCTCTTAGGCATCGGGACGAGCTTTAAGGTGGATAATCAATGTTCTGCCGCTGAAATTGTATACGGCACGACATTGCGTCTGCCTGGGGAATTTTTCACGCCACGCAGCCGGAACGATCTTGGTAAATCAGACTACGTTGAACGATTGTCTGAATATATACGAACATGGCCGACGGTGTCAGCTCGAATACAGCATCGACAGGTTGCTTTCACTCGAGAGTTATCCACCTGTTCACATGTTTGCATTCAAGTAGATTCGGTACGCAAACCTTTGCAACAGCCCTACGAAGGAACTTTTCTCGTGATTTCTCGTCACAAAATGACCTCCAAGGTTTATCGACATGACCGCGTCGAGGTAGTCAGCATCGATTGTCCTAAGCCAGCATACGTCCATAACAGTGTCGTCACTGATAAGTCGAGACCCAATGCTAGACCCATCGAACCTACCAGCGGATCCCTACATCTACTTCGGACCCCACACTGGATACATCGGATACCTCATTCTCACGTCC